TAATTACAAATGGATTACCTCTGAGTGGAGGCACCTTGGAGTCCAAATACCCATCAACCTGGACAAACTATTGAACTGCAACTTCCACAGGAAATTCAAGGGAAAATACGGGATTGGAATGAACATCAGCTCTCCTTAGCAGACAGACTACAACTGATTCAAAGCTTTATTTTCCTGTGCTTTTTATTTCTGTTCCGAACAGTACCCATATTCATCGGGGAGAAGGAATTTACTAAATGGCAACGTACATTGACGAATTTTTTGTGGAACTCGAATAAATCCAGAGGGGACTACAGGCATCTTACCAGATCAAGCTCCAAGGGAGGACTGGGAGTCCCCTCACTTCGCTGGTACCATCATGCGGCAGTCCTGACAAACGTAGTAAAGATGCTACAGAAAGAACTAACTACAAGCTGGTGTCACATTGAGAAATCCTTTGTACGCCCTTTCTCCCTTCAAAACACTATATGGATGTCTAAAGCTAATAGACCCAAACCATAGCCCAAAATGCCTTCTTGGACTCCACATTAAGAATTTGGGACATGCACAGGAAAGTGCTGGCACCGACGGTTTCTCCCCTGTCCACCTACACCAATCAACCATGATTCAATCCTGGCTTGGAACCGGATGCTTTTCTGAAGTGGACAAACGCTGGATTCCGCAGACTACAAAACCTTACCCCAAGAGGGCATCTTCACCCTAAATCTCATTTTGAGGAAATTATTAAAACAAAAATATCCTGGCTAAAATTATATCAACTCAAAAGTTTGATAGACTGGGTCACAGATCAGGATTCGTTTTCCAGACCCAAATCTTCCTCGGCAAATTTTCTGACCAATCAAAAGGCTTAAAGTAAAGGTAAAGGTTCCCTTGCTCGAAAGCCAGTTGAATCTGACTCTAGGGTTGCGGTGCTCATCTCCGTTTCAGAGCCGAAGAGCCAGTGCAGTCCAAAGACATTTCCGTGGTCATGTGGCCGGCATGACTAAACACCAAGGCGCACGGAACGCTGTTACCTTCCCACTGAAGTGGTACCTATTTATCTACTTGTAATTTCTTGCTTTCAAACTGCTAGGTTGGCAGGAGCTGGAACTAGAGATGGGAGCTCACTCCGTCATGCAGCACACTCGGGTCTCGAACTGCTGAACTACCGACCTTCCACAGCCTGCAGTTCAGTGTCTTAACCACTTGAGCCACCACAGCTCCATCAAAAGGCTTACTATCTCACATATACAAGATTCTGCTGGAAGAGGAAAAAGACAAATCAATGTCTAATAGAATTGCTTGCCACAAGGACCTCCGCCAAGAACTAACTACTCAACAATGGATGGAAATCTGGAACTCACATGCTTGCAAAACCAGAATCTTTTCCATAAGGCTACAATTTTTTAAACTTCAGACAAGGTGGTACCTCTCCCCCGCAAGACTGAGGCAAATGTACTTCACCTACAATCATCTCTGTTGGAAAGGATGTGGGGAAGTTAGTGATTTTTTTCCATTGCTGGTGGGCGTGCCCGGTGATAGCCAAAATCACATCTCAAAAACTCTCTCTGGACCCAGCTGTAATATTCTTACAGCTAGCAGATGGAGATTCTTGGGACATGGTGATTTCTGACCTCACTTCTACCCTCCTACCCTGTTTCCCCGAAAATTAAGTCCTACCCAAAAAATAAGCCCTAGCAGGATTTCTATGCATTTGTGGTATAAGCCCTAGTGTGTCTTCTTAAAAATAAATATAAGACAGTGTCTTATTTTTGGGAAAACACGGTAGCTACCACCAGATTAACTGTAGCGGCGGCGTGGAAATCCCCCGACCCACCGGATTTCAGAACTTGGAGAAATAAGTGCTGGGAACACTTTATAATGGATAGGATTGCTGAGTCATATACCGGACGTTCACATAAAGCTACAAACACACACTCTAATTTTGTCAAAACATCGTTTTCCTTTCTTCAACACATGGTGGAACATGATGTAATCCCTCATAAGCCTCACTACATGGAATGGCTTCATTTCTAACCCTTTTCTGAGCTCTCACTTTAGTCTCACAAAAACGCTTCTACGCTTAGAAACGTAGCTGTATATTGAAAATCTTTCTGTTGTTCACTGTATTTTTGCTTACTCTTCTACTTTCTTTAACATTGTTGACAATTTTGCATTTGCATTCACTGTTTAAACTGTTTATTAAAATAAAAAATTGCAATAAAATAAAAAATTGCAATAAAAAAGAAGAAAAAGAATTACAAAAAAAAGAGGCACTGCTAGGTCATATCCATGGTGCTTGTAATCTAGTTAGCTTGGTTCTCATTGTAGCCAGTAGGTGCTCCTCAAGAAGCGACAGAGATTCCAGTGCCTGCCTCTGTTGTTGATGCCTAGCAACTGGCATTGAGCTGTACAGTTCTTGGAGGTTCCACTTAGACATCAGACCTAATAGACCAATCCTCCATGAATTTACGTAATCCCCTTTGAAGACTAAGTTAGCATCCATCTCTGCATCCTGTGGCAGTGAGATTCTCATCTTGAATGCAGTGTGTGAAGAAGTACCTTTGCCTGTCCTCTTCATTGGGGGTCCTTACATTCTAAGATTTTGATACAGGGGAAAAGTTCTCTCCCTCTCTGTCTCCATGTTCACCTCTCTTTTGTTTCCTGTTTAATCATTTTCTCCTGAACTGAAATCTCAAAATCTTTAGCTCATCCTTGTGTGGCAGGTGTTCAAACCCCTTGACCGCATAATTGCCAGCCTTGAAGCAAAAATGGACCAGAGAGGGAATAGTGACTGGGTCAGCTGGACTTGCCAGTAAGGCACTCTGAGAGACAGGTGTTGGAGTATTGGGTCTAGACTCCTTTCTCCAAGGGTCCTTCTACCAGGAATGGCAGATACACCAAACAATTACATGAGCATCCAGAGATGACTCACTGAATGTCCTCAGCTGACATTGCTAAGGGATAGCTTTAATTTTTAAGATGCTAATTGCAAGTTCAAACAGATGCCATAACCAGCTCCTTATGCTGTACTGCTGACTTAAATGAACTCTCTGGATCAGTTTATCCATCCCAACATGTTCTCAGGCTTCCAAGGCTTTGAAATGCAACAACATCCCTCCCAGGGTCAGGTTCAATATTTATTTTTTAAATGAGGGCACATTCATATATGCAGGATTTTTGTCTTTAAAACTAGGAGGGGGTATTCTGGGTATTGTATTTTCTTCCATGTGTCTTGGGTTTGGGAAGCCAGTTGACTGATGTTATTTTGAACTAGTCAGTTGATCATTAGGGGTGTGCATTCGGGTCTACCTGAACTGAAAATATACCCAAAAAACATCTAATTGGTACTTTTTGGATATATTTTGGCATCCCAAATGTATCTGGGATTTTTTTGAGAACTGGAAAAAAAATCCCAGATATATTTGGGAATTTCCAACAAACCCAAACAGCTACTGAGGAACTGGAGCAGATTGCTTCTGCCACTCTGTTGTTTTGGGGCTTTCTTCTGCAGTACCTTTAAACAGGGATGTTTAAAGGGACTGTAGAAGAAAGCCTGCAAAACAGCTGAGGGGGGCACTTTCCCTGTCGGCTCAGCTGGGGGTCTTTTGGACTGTTCGACCAAACTGCCAAGGAGGGCTCCAACAGAGCCTGCGGGGAGAGTTCTCCCTGCAGGATTGTCTGCTTTTCAGGCTCTGTTGGGCAGTCCAGTTTAAACCGGGCTGCCCAGCAGAGCTGACAGGGAGAGTTCTCCCCACAAGATCAGCTCCCTTACATGCTCTGTTGGGCAGTCCAGTTTAAATCGGGCTGCCCAGCAGAGCCCCAGTCTAGCCTGCAGGGAGAGTTCTCGCTGCAGGATCAGCTGCTTGATGGGCTCTGTTGGGCAGTCCGGTTTATAGGGACTGCCCAAAAGAGCCTCAGCTGTGCCACCTCTCAGCTGGTTTTTGTGGCTTTATTGAACTAAGTATTTTATATACACTTATATGTTTAACTGTTGTTTGTTTTAATACTGAAACATTTTAATGTTTTCATGTTTGCCATCATGGAGATCTTGTCCAGATAGAAAGATAGCACAGAAATATTTTGAATAAATAAGTAAAATCTGTACCCTACTTTCCCGCAAATAAGGAATTCCTGATGTAAACTAAACACTGAAACTCTCCGTATCTTTTTGTTGTTGTTGAGCTCATGGGTGCACAAGTTGCAGTAGTGGCACCAAGTGGCAATAGTTGCAGCCAGCTGGTTTCTACTTTTATCTGATTGGGATAAATGTGGTGGAGGATGACAAGGTGATGGCAGTGTGCTTAAGGGGCTGAACCAGATGATATCTTGCCTATTCCCACCACAAACTGGAAGCTGGTTCTGAATTTTGACCATAGTAACCATCATTCTGCTTTCCCAGTGGCTGTAAAGGGGCTTTAATGCAGGCTCAGAGGCTCAGATGACCATGGACCCCAACCAATAATAATCCCCACCATTCCAGGAAATCCACCAAGTGGCTACCAAATGGCTCCTAGTGACACAAATTCACAGCTAGAAAGTTTGATTGCTTGCTAGGTTAGCAATGTCGTTTTTGACTTACTAAAATACTGGACAAAAGTGAGGGGCGATCAAGGGTGTGCAATTTTTTTCTTGATATTTTTCCATTTGGGTCTATGGGACCAGAAAAAAAATCAGGATTCCCAAAAAAGCTGGAATCCCAATACCAGTAAAGTATTTGGATCTGGGATTTTTTGGAAGTCCTGAATTTTTTGGGGGGTCCATCCCTCTCCATCCACCAGAGTGTCCAAGGCTGTTTCAGTTCCATAACTAGAAGTGAAACCAGATTGGAATGGATTCAAACAATCCCCTTCATTCAGGAGTCCCTGAAATTACCCAGCCATTTAAAAGTTATGGGCCGGTCCCAAATTGGGGGTAGAGGGGAAGGTTTTTATCTTCAGTGCATGCATAAAAGATAAATAATGGATAAGAAGTTAGTCTCATTCTGTTTAAACAATTCAGTATGCTGCCTTCTTTTTTAGGTTGAATATGTGTTCTCTGACAAAACTGGGACACTGACAGAAAACACCATGGAATTCATTGAGTGCAGCATTGATGGATACAAGTATAACGGTTCCATGACAGAGGTTGATGGGCTCAAATATTATGAGAAAGCTGAGAAGGTAAAATTGCTTCTGGATTGATTGCTTCTATAAAGTCAATCTATGATTGAGTGGATTGGTTTTTAACTCTTGGGCAGGGATAGGCAGCCCCTGACATTAAGCGCCGAATAGTGGCATGCCGGACCATTTTGTGTAGTATGTTGGCTTGGTCCTCTGCCCCAGCAACTGAGGCAGTCATAGTAGTATATGACTGAGACCTGCCCCTATAGCATTGGCTGCACCATTGGGGTTTGGCTTGCTCTCAGTGTGCCTGGCCAAGTATATTTATCCTCTTTCCCATCATCTCTTTATTTGGCAGCAGACCAACATCTTCACACACAGGTTTGTTTTAGCACTTCAGCCCAAGATATTCCCTACCCCTGCTCTAGGAGGTAAAAAGGTTGAGAGAACATTAGAATTTGAAACACTGCAGCAGTCTTGGAAAAGAATATTTTCTGGCATAGAAAGCCAGACTGGTTACTAGGTCAGATTAGGATCTGAGAGACTCAGCTTCAAATCATAAGCTGCCATGAAGTTTGATGAGCGATTTTTCTCAGTCACTCACTCAGAACCTAAATTGGCTCACAGAGTTGTTGTGAAGATAAAATGGGTCCATGAGAGCTGTTAGCTCTTTGGAGGAAGGATGGGATAAAAAATGTACTAGACAGATGTGCACTCCCAAAGGAAAAGTAGATTACACGAGTAACCAGTAATGATCCTGTGTTTTAACGCTGTTCTTAATCCCTGAATATTTAGCCATTCAGATGTTTTTAGTGTAGGTGTGGGTGCCAAGTCACCAACCCGCTAAGCAGTGGCTAAAAGTGATCAAGTATATTCATTCACTCCTTCCATTTGCATCCCATCTCATCCTTTTTCTGAGGAACTCAAAAAGATATACTCAGATGTTGTTAATCTCACCTTTCCCCTCACAGCAACTGTCTGAGAAGACGGTTAACAGGCTGTGTGTGTTTGGCTGGCCCAGGATCGTTCAGTGAGCTTCAGGGCTGAGTGGGGATTTAAACCTGGTTCTCCCTATTTCAGTGCTATCCACTACCACACAGGTCTTCAGGACTATTTGAAATAGTGAATTCAGCCATTTCCACAAGCAGGGGAAGCTTACTTCCTGTCACACTAGAGCAGCTGTCGGTATGCTGCGTTGGCCTGAATCTCTTGCTGTCATCGTTTTAGTCCCTGAAACAGGAAGGTCCTCCTTGCTTGAAGATCTCCTTTCCCATTTTAATTTTCCTTTCCCAGAGTCAAGAAGAGCTGTTCCTGCGTGCTTTGTGTCTCTGCCACACTGTTCAGATTCAGTATAGAGATAAAGTTGACTCGGGAAAATCTCATCTGGAGACATCATCTCTGAACTATGTCTCCTCTTCCCCGGATGAAATAGCTTTGCTGACAGGAGCTAAAAAGTAAGGACAATTTTCAGAAGTTGTTCTCTTTTTGCTTTTGCTTTTAGTTGTATTGGTTGCATATACAGGTTGCTGCAGTGCTTGCAAATGGAGGGGCTTGGGACTGGATGTTTGGAATTGTAGAGAAAATATAGCAACACCCCCCAGTAATATCAAAGGTGTCAGCTGGGAAATGTGTATCTTCTCTTCAGTCTCTCAGCCTAAAGGACCTGGCAGGTGTTCTCCTAAATGCAGAATGAGAGGACACCCCAGAGGCTTCTGAATCCCAGAAACATCTGGGCATTTTGTTACTTCATGCTGGAAAGGGTGCTGAGCAAACAGGGGGAAATAGGCTTCCAAACTGGGGTGAGAATGGGCAGTGTCAGGGTCCAATGCAGTCCATGAGCCATCAATTGCATGATTTTGGATCGCTTCTCAATAAGTGAGGCTTGGTCCAGCTTTGGGTATGGCAGTGTTGTCTGCTCCCCAGTTGCAACCTGATGATTATTCTAGCAAGCAATTTGGCTCTGTCTCATTTATAGAACCAGATAATTGTTTTGTTTAAATTGTTTTGGAGCTTGATGGGTAAGTATAATTATACAGGTAATCTTTAGTATGTACTGCAACTGTAGCAAAGCTGAGATCTGGTGGCCCTTCACTTTTAACTATGAATTTGACCACATGATGAATACATGAAGCTGCTTTATGCCGAATCAGACCACTGGTCCACCACAGTCAACATTGTCTACTCAGACAGGCAGCGGCTCTCCAGGGTCCCAGGCAAATTATTCATAAAATCTTTACTTTGTGTTATAAGCTGTTGGTAAGCAATTTGGTACACACACCAGCAAAGAAAGCTTCCTTATGGGATGTGTGGTGTTTATGTATCAAAGAAACAGGGAAAACTCACATTCAGAGGAACTTTTTAAAAAATATGTTTATTGAAAAAACTCTGCTTGAGAACAACATACATCATATATGCTGATCACATTTCTCAGTGCTGCAAAGCATGACAGTTAGACGCATTCAAGTTAAGGTTTAATACGCTGCTAATAAAACAGAGATGGTTGCTATGATACAATGAAGGAAGGTTTGTATTACCTAACTTCCCTGAGACAGACAAGCTCACTTAATTTCAGCAATGTAGCTGTCCGCCAACTCTTGTTAACTCTTTTCCTTATATTTTCCTTATATCTGCACCCAATTTCTAGCAATTAACTTTTTTGGCTGCAAAAATAAGGTCAAGGATCATAGAGAAATTGTTCTTACTACAGTACTCAGACCAAAAGCCTAAAAGAGCGGCTAACGGATTTTTAGACATATGAAGTCTTAAAATATCAATTAGTGCTAGAACTTTATCCCAAAACATTTGAATTGCTGGGAATTCCCATCACATATGTACATAATCTGCTGATCTGAAACCGCATTTCCAGAATTTGTGAGAATTTGCCTTGAAGCACTTACGTGTGTCGTGTGTGTGTGTAAAGTGCTGTCAAGCCAAATTTAGGTGACCCCTGCAAGAGGCTTTCAAGGCAAGTGAGCAGCAGTTTGCCAGTGCCTTCCTCTGCAGAGCCTTCCTTGGTGGTCTCCCTTCCAAGTACCGACCATGCTTAGCTTTTTATGTCTGATGAGATTAGTCTATATCAAGCTGCCTTCCCTCCCCAAGGAATGAAATACTAAAAGTAAATTAATATATATGAAATTTCTTTCATGTTGGTACAGATTATTCTTGCTGACATGAGGTAAAGAATTAGTTCCATTCTGTATTAGGTTTGTTTCAGTACTATTTTTCAATGCCTGCGATGATTGAATTTATCTTTATTTAATGAATTAACCCAAAATAAAATATTTTAAGTAATCCTTTAGATTCCATAGTATTGAAAATGACTTATTCTGAGTAAGAGAAGTACTAATATATTGGTGTCTTACCTTATCTCAAATATAGGAACGTAATTGGAGGTACTGAAACCCTCCCGTAGCTGATATTTTAGACCGTTACTCCAACAAAGCTACATAGTGCCCTTTACGTAGAACCTCTGTACACCATTACAGTGGTACCCTTCCTTTTGCAGTGAGCAAACCCAAGATCTTAAATTTAAAATTGTGTATGAAGGAGGTTAATAAGGCTATCTTAGAATTAATATGTTTTCTAAATTTTACTCATGCTTCTTAGGTCTCACCAACATGAAAATTATCATAGTGCATGTAATCATCAATTCTTGCTTGATATAGCCTAGGTTCCAATGGGATTTGCATACTATCTTTTCAGAGGGTAACTGTGTTGGTCTGTAGTAGAACAACTAGACTAGGGTCCAGTAGCACCTTAGAGACCAACAAGATTTTGGGGGTATAAACTTTGGAGAGTCAGTGTGCCCTTCCTCAGAGTGCTCTCTTGTTCCTGTCGATATCATTGACTAGATCCATCAAACTGTGATCATGTGAATATCATTCTTAGTTTAGACGCATAATAATACAACATAAAATTAAGACATTGAACAAGCCCTCTGTTTTCTTCCTTTGTAGAATTGCTAAAGAAATCAAATATAATTTATTTTTCTAAATAAGATACTCGCATTCTAATCTATCATAAACTTTTTCAGCGTCGAAGAATAACACAGAGATAGCTTCTTTGTTTTCAACTGTTCTACTCATAATATTAAAGATACGTCTCGAGTAGCCAGCAACTGCCAAATTTGGCCCTACTCCACCCTCCCCCCCCCAAAAAAAATTCTGTGCATAGGCAAAGTTCTGCACCTAGAAAAAGTCCAATTCCATATCCTGCATATATTATGTAAGTTGAGTGGACTTGAGTTCTCTCTTGCCTGATTTATCCTGCTGCCCTTGACCAGACTATTACAGTAAGAGTTGAGCAACACTGGAATCGGCTGCCAAGGGAGGTGGTGAGCTGCCCCTCACTGGCAGTCTTTAAGCAGCAACTGGACAAACACTTGTCAGGGACGCTCTAGGCTGATCCTGCATTGAGCAGGGGATTGGACTAGATGGCCTGTATGGTCCCTTCTAGCTCTGTGATTCTATGATCCAGTTTGTTCTGGGTTCTGCTATCTCTGGAGAGGGGCCTGGAGCAATTCAGGCTTCTGAAGGTCTTGCCTCCATTTATTGGAAACCTGCTCTAGACCCCCTTCCGACTCCCACTTTTTTCAAGAATTGCCTTCTCAATAAGATCTAGAAACATTATTTTTGTTTTGTTTTCTTTTTGTTAAAAGCCAGGATTCTCAGGAAGCTAGCTTGTGCTGAATATTAAATTCTGAAGGTTTTCTACACTTTCACGAGAGCACAATATACACCCAGCCCTGCTTGTATCACATTTTTAATTCAACCATCTTGTGATTTAAAATCAAAACACCCCCTCCCCAAATCTGGTCTAGCTTAAATTTAAAAACAAATAGGTTTTTTTTCAACGCCCTTCTGTCCTTTTTGTTCATTGACAGGTATGGTTTCACTTTTCTAGGACAAGAAAATGGTTTCATGAAGGTACAGAACTGCTATAAAGAAATGGAGAGGTAGGACCAATTTTAACTTGTCATCTAGCATTTAGGGAAATGTTAGGACAGGTTATTGTTAGAAATGATGGAAGGTTGAAATGGCATGCTCATTTGTGGTGTTTCTTTCCCCCATTCTTGGGGTGTTGCAGGAAACTGGACGTTGAGGCCAGGTCAGTTTCAGAGTTGCTGAATATTTTTATATGCCATGGTGGACTTTTAAAATATTTTGCATGTATTGTCTACATATCTTTTCCATGGTCCCTGGCTGCTTGTTAAATCCCTAAATCAATAACTCAAGTAGATTTTTAACTTGGTTGCATCCTTGCCACATCTGGTCAGCAACTAGATTGTCTAGTTCCAGGATTCCATCAGACTGCAGGGCCATTTTGTGATGGTACCTGAAATGCCAGACTTGGCCTTCAGGTTTCAGGTTGCTGACCCATACATTGGAACCTTTATTGAAACAAATGGCAAGCCTAAATGCAGCTTTTGTATTGGTTCCAAGAGCAGTGACCTTAAAGGAACTTCCTTCAGACTTCTGTTCACTGTTGGGTTTGGGATTGGGAAGTGATCAGCCCTAACCCTTCACATACTTGTAACTTCCTGCCCTCTTGTCTTTAAAAGCTATGAGCTGCTTCATGTTTTGGATTTTGATTGTGTCCGCCGCCGAATGAGTGTTATTGTGAGGATGCCATCAGGTTAGTCAAAGCTCTTTTCTGTGAAAGATCATTTTTCCAGAGTTTCTAATTATTCTTAATTAACTTCACAAAAAACTGTTATCTATCTATTCTTTTTTCAAAATGCTCTTTTAGGGATGATAATCCTGTTCTGCAAGGGAGCAGACTCCTCTATGTTTTCAAGGGTGCAAGAATCTGAAATACTGAAAACAAAAGTACACGTAGAACGCAATGCAATGGTAAGTGCACCTTTACTGGGGTCCCAAAAGCAAGATTGTCGGGAACTACTCTAGCAGTGGTACTCACTCCACGGCTTGTAGACAGCCACATTCGCAGATACCATCAACTAAAATAGCCCCAGGTACTTCTAACCCTGGCGTGAGGCCTGCGGCTCAGAGAGGCTTGTAGTTTATCTCTTCTGGTGATGGGTGTTTCAGGGTGGGGCCCATCTGACAATCACAACCCCACTGGGAAATAGCCTCGCCCATTTACCTGCTCCATGTTTCAGGAGCCATATTAGGAAACAGTGCTCAGAAGAGCCACAGGTGACATATCAAAGAGCCGCATACGGCTCCTGGGCCACTGAGTGACTCTCACAGCAGTATAGGCTACGTGTGTTGTCTTACTTGGCCAAGTAGCTACATTGTAAACTGGTAGCTGTATTTTGTCTTCAGCAAGGATTGAGAGGCATTGACTCCAATCGCTCCATTGGCTCCACTCCGTGCAGAAATAAAAAATGTGAACAGTGACAGAAGCGTTCTCCTGGCTCTTTGTGATGGAGCCTCTATAACTCCTAGTCTTTAAGAATGGCTCTTAAGTCTGGTGTGTGTCTCCCCCCCCCCCCCCAACACTGCCATTGGGGTTGAACTGGTACTGGTGCTATGCACTGAGGGAAGGCCTGACTGTGTCCTTTGGTCCAGGGCTATGCAGAGCCCAGATTTTGGTCTCCTGCTGCTTATTTGTGATCCCCTGCTTTCACTGGCAGAATCTTTGGGTTTGTTCATGTTTTTAACAGTTTAATTGTGTGCCTTGATGGCATCTTTTGTACATAAGCCACCTTTGAGCCCGTTTTTACTTCAGTCCTCCCCATCTTAATTTGTTGTACATGGAAAGTAATTTAATTTTGACTGACTTTGCCAGTAATGGCACTCAAGCAGCTTTCTGTGTCCCATTCTTATCACAGGTAGAGAATCTTCTGTGAACTGGCTCTTTTTCAAGGGCTTTAGCAATTGGCCGTCATCAAGCAAGTTCATTGCTGTGCTTGAGAGGAAATGCATGTGCCCATTGAGGCTGATTGTATCTATTTCAGCATCTTCTCCCCTTTTCCCCCACTCCAAGTTCCTGAAACAGCTTAGGGAGCTATTTTATAGAACAACTTAAGCTCCTTTGTGGCTGGATCATGACTTGAAATTGCTTTGTTCTCTACCAGTAACTTTCAGAATGCCTAGACTTTAGCCTTTCATTTGACCTCTTGGATGTACTTCCAGAGCACTGCTTTGCACACAAAAATGACATCACACCGAATGGAAGACCAAAAATAGGCTTTAGAATCATAGAATCATAGAATGTTAGAGTTGGAAGGGACCTTGCAGGTCATCTAGTCCAACCCCCTGCACTCTGCAGGAGCATAGCTGAAAGATAGCCCTACATACCTACAACATACCCGAAAGATGGTAATCCAGGCTCCGCTTGAAAACGTCCAGCGAAAGAGCATCCACCACCTCCCGAGGCAGACTGTTCCACTGCTCAACCACTCTTACAGTTAGGAAGTTTCTCCTGATATTTAGCCGGTAATGGCTCCCTTTAAAGAACACATATGCTTTAAAGAACACATATGCCTCTTTCCTTCAGGATGGGTATCGGACACTTTGTGTAGCCTTCAAAGAAATTTCTGAAAGTGACTACCTGAAAATCAGTGACAGTGTTAAAGAAGCTACAATGGCACTACAGGACAGAGAAGCAAAGATGGCGGTGCTTTTTGATGAAATTGAGAGAGATATGCATTTGATTGGGTCCACTGCTGTGGAAGACAGGTAAAACAATGGGAGGAAAATGAATTGTCTGCGCTAAGCTCCTTTCAAAAATAGCCCCTCCCCCTTGTGGAATCGTGCCCTCTAATTGTTTTGGGAGGGGATGCAGATGATAAAAACTGGGCTCGCTTGCAAATATCCTGATTCATCCTGAAGTGCCTACCTATAGTAGGGGGAGGGTAGTCTTGCTCCAGCACTTCCTGTGCATAGCTGATTTCCTGTTAATCCAGCTTCCAAACATTTGTAAGTGTAAACTTGACAACCTGTTTATGGGGATCGGGAGTGCAGGGGATTATTCCACAGTTGCTGCAGCCTACAGGAAGAGGAGCAGCAGTCATAGCAAGCCTTTTACAAGAGTTGAACCAATTTCTCCCTCCTCTTCCTTTGGTTGCATTAGCACTGAGAGAGGAGTCCTGGGTTTCAGCTGCAGATTGATAACAGTACAGGGGTAAGACAACCCATAGAGATGGCATTATCCATGCTGAATGTAAACTTAGTTGCTGGTTGTACGATGGATTTACTCCATGACAATCATAGGTAAATGGTCATTCCCAAAGGGGTAACACTGAAAGGCGATATCCCTTTGAGGGCAGACCAAGGATGAAGGTCTAAATACTTTTTCTATTACTGATTTGTTGTGTACTGTGTTATGAAGTTTGTAAGCTGCATTGAAGGATCTGTACAGCTTGAAGGCAGAGCAAAAGAAAATCTTTGAAATGAACTTTGTTGCCAGAGATCAGTTTATGCTGTTTTTGTTTATTTTTAAACACTTCATATTTAAGCACAGTGTGGTGGTGGTGTTCTCTTTGGAGCACTGACACAAAGAGATACACTCCTTTATGCTAGCCAATGGCACTACCTAATTAAGAAAAATAATTCCACATTTTCCAGGCAAAGAACCTGTCAGAACTCAAGCTGTCAGTGGTTCTTGAACTGGAGATCTTAGGGGTTCACCACTTAGCTCTGCCCAGGGGACAGTAGTATTGCAGGAGGACAAGCTACACTGGCAAGAAAGCCGCTTTGCAGCACCTGGCCAAAATGAATCTGGTGACCCTACAATACTTATGCTTATTTCTGAGTCCAGTTTCTTTGACAAGAATGTTAAAAGAGCCCTGTTGGATCAGACCATCTCATCCAACATCCTGCTTCACACAGAGGGCAATCAGTTGCACTGAAGGGCCAAACTGAGGCCGGCCTGAGCCTGCTTACAGGGAGGGCGGGGCACAAATTAAATAAATAAATACATCAGAGAGACATAGAGACCAATGCCTCCCCTGATGCTGCCTCATTGCACTGACATTCAGAGGTTTAAGCAACCATTGATGGACCCATCCTCCATGAATCTGGTTACAGCTTCGGCAGCTAGGAGGCCTGGTTCCTGTTTTTCTACTCTGCAGGGGCTAAATGATCAGTCTGCCCTCCTAATGGAGGGAATGGAGGGTTGCTTTTTAGATAAATCAACACTTGTCTTTCGGTAGACTCCAGGAGCGTGCAGCAGAAACCATTGAGGCCTTGCATGCTGCTGGCATGAAGATCTGGGTGCTGACTGGGGACAAGATGGAAACTGCCCAGGCAACCTGCTATGCCTGCAGACTCTTCCAGTCCAATACAGAACTGCTGCTTCTGACAACAAAAACCGTGGGAGAGGAGAACCATAAGGAAGAGCAACTGTACAAGCTAATGATGGAATATCACAAAAAGGTGGTGAATGACATGCCTGAAGATGTGAAAAGGTACAGCTGAGATGCACGTTTTTGCCACAGCCCCAATCAGATGAGGCTGTTGGTTAGACCGACACTATTTGCTTTTAAACCATGTCTTCTGTTTTAAGGAACTGGATGCTCAGCCATGAATATGGGCTAGTGATCGATGGTGCAACCCTGTCCCTGATCTTGAACCCTTCTCAAGACTCATGTTCCGTCCACTACAGAAACATCTTCCAACAGATATGCCTGAAGTGCACTGCAGTACTGTGTTGCCGAATGGCCCCTCTGCAGAAAGCACAGGTGCGTGGCGCATGTCAATTTCGGAGCATGTCGTTCCCAGCATGCAGATCAAATGTGTCACAGCTTGGTGACTCCAGGTTAACCTTCTTGCCTGCTGGGTTAGTCGTGTTCACATCCTCAGTTCTTCCCATTACCAAAGATGAAGACTGGCCCCAGTAAGCATGAGTGATGTGGGAGGGGGAGGAGAGATGCTCAGATCTTGTGTTCTCTACACTGTCCAGCTTTCCTGTTTTCTCTTGTTTAGATGGTTCGAATGGTTAAGAATTCGAAAGGCAACCCGATAACTCTTGCAGTAGGAGATGGTGCCAATGATGTTAGCATGATCTTGGAAGCTCATGTTGGCATAGGTAATAAATGTGATGTGCCATTGTTAATAAACTGTACCATAAACAGTCCCATCTGTTGCTTTGTGGTGCCAAACAGTTGGCTTTGAGAAATGTTCATTGGCTTGAAACAACTATAACTTTTTTACTTACTACGTTTGAGTCTACTGGCACCTTTAAGACCACCAAAGTTCAATTCTGGGTATGCGCTTTCACATGCATGCACACTTCATCAGATACCTGATGGAGGTATCTGATGAAGTATGCATGCACACGAAAGTGTATACCCAGAATTAACTTTGTTGGTCTTAAAGGTGCCACTGGACTCTAACTTTGTTCTATTGCTTCAAACCAACATGGCTACCCACCTGAATCTATTTTTTACTTACAGTGAGCCAACGTCTGCACTAGATTGATTCTGCAACTTCTGCAGAGTTTGCATGGTGATTCTTACATGTTTAGAAGTCTCTACCTATTTTTACATAATTTATTCTGCTTGTGTTAGGGCTCTCTTAGGCCACTGAAGGCCACCTTACCCTTCCAGCAATCAGAAATCTTATTCTGCCACCCTTCTAGCACCTAAGTTTTCATTAGGTAAATGCCAAGCAGACCTTTGCATGTGTTAAATGTGCTGGAGGATTAATTCTGCTGTATAAAACCTCAGATTATTGGAAAGGTAAATTCTGCTCCCAGTGCTGCATTCTGCACTTTTCCTGTGTGGCCTATGCAGAGCCTTGGGTAGGAGCTGTAGCTGAGCAAAACAAATGATTTGCATGCGGAAGGTCCTCGAATCAATTCCCACCACCTCCAGTTAAAGGATTTCAGGTAGTAAGATAGAAGGTATTGGGGAAAGACCTTGTTTCCTCTGGAAACCCAGCCACTCATGGTAGACAGGCCTGAGCTAGATGGCCCAACTCTGTATTAGGCAGCTGTATAAGGGGCTGCGGTGGCTCAAGTGGTTAAGATGTTGAACTGCAGACTGGAAGGTCGGTAGTGCAGCAGTTTGAGACCCAAGTGCTGCATGACAGAGTGAGCTCCCATCTCTGGTCCCAGCTCCTGCCAACCTAGCAGTTCAAAAGCAAGAAATTGCAAGTAGATAAAAAAAGTAACAGTGTTCTGTGTGCCTCAGCGTCTAGTCATGCCAGCCACATGACCATGGAAACGTCTTTGGACAGCGCTGGCTCTTCGGCTTGGAAACAGAGATGAGCACCGCATCCCTAGAGTCAGAGATGAGCACCAGATCCCTAGAGTCAACTGGCTTTCGAGCAAGGGAAACCTTTACCTTTACTAGGTCCTGGCTTTCCATGAACTGCATTCTTGCTGGTGCTGTGCAGCACCCTAGCAAGACCATAGCGAACCATTATCTCACACATCTGTACATTTCCTTACCAGTGAGATTTTTCTGCTGTATCAACAAAAGAGCCAGATCCAAGAGAGTCAAACTCCTTTTTTCACCTAGGTGTTAAAGGCAAAGAAGGCCGCCAGGCAGCAAGGAACAGTGACTATGCCATCCCCAAGTTTAAAGACTTGAAAAGATTGCTGCTGGCACATGGGCATTTGTACTACGTCAGAATATCACACCTTGTGCAGTATTTCTTCTACAAGGTAATGGATTCAGATGGCCAGCTAGCTGGTTGGTTTGCTGAGAATTGTTAATCCCAAGCAGAGTGTTTCTGGGCTGTGCAAAAAAGGAAAAATACAAATCCCTTATGTCAAACGAGTGGTCCCTTGTGTTGTACCACTGGCCCATTATGTTTTTGACTCTCCCTTGCCTGTCTCTGCCAGCTCTGGTCCTGACTGCAATGTTTCTGCTCTCCAAGAATACATCATTTCAGGTGGCAAGCAAGCTGTTATATGTTTGAATGCCCCACCCAACAACTCTGCGTGTATGTAGAGACTATATCATGGAGATTCAGCCTCAATTTCTCCCTGGAATGCTCTTTGTCTACACGCAACAATCCCCCCCCCCCACCACCCCCCCCCCCCCCCCCCATGGGACAGCATTTGATGTGCTGCTTCTCACCTGCCACTTGAACTGTTGGCTAGATTCTGTTGCTTGTGTAAGCTGAGCCTGCATGTTGTGTGCATGTGGGGAAAACCAGTGTAGTCTAGTACTTACAGGGTTGGATTTAGACTGGGAAGACCTGGATTTGCTGTCCAATTCAGCCACAACTGAGCTTGGTACATTCATGCTCCCTACCTCTGATCTGCCTTGCAGAGTTTTTGTATGTTGTGTTCCCTTCACCTCCTAAAATTGCATGCCACCCTGAGCTCCCACAAATGAAAATATGAGAAATAAAAATGGTCATATTTTGAAGTGAGGATTTGAAGCAGAGCTTTGCTAGCTCAAATTGGAAAGGTTATAGGGTCAGAGGCCCTCCTTTTGTATGGGTGGTCCCATCGCTTTTAGTTGTGACAACAGAGGGGGAAAAATGATGATGGTTTTCCCCACTAACACATTCTTCTTTATGTGTTTGCCTCTTCAGAACCTTTGCTTCATTTTCCCACAATTTTTATACCAGTTCTTCTGTGGCTTCTCACAACAGGTATGTGATTACTGTTTGTAGTGATACTGGAGAAAGGTTGGAGATCTTAGTTTAACTTTGGGATGAAATTCTAAGCTTTCTGGCTTTAAAGAGCAGCCCAGTGCAACTCTGGAATATAATCTTGCTGGGATGCTTAGGTGTGTTGTTCCTTTAACCTTAATAATAAGGTGTCACTGGCCTACAACTTACAGGAGAGTGTGTTATCCTTGCCAGCCATAGGGGCTCACAGGCAAGTCCCATTAAAATCATCCCTCTGCCAGAATCACCTGCAGAGACTATTGCAGGAGGGCAGATGTGAACGATGGTCTGCACAGGCAGCTCTCGCCCCTGTTTGGCTGCAGCTTTTTAAAAAATACATACCAAGGACTAGCTTTTGTTGCAGTCATACTAAGAGTCTGTCAGCCACCCATTCACTTTTCTTTCCTTTTGAAAGTGGTGCTTGACATTGCATTTAAACCCACTTTCCTCCTCTACCCTGAATCACCTTCACACAGCAAAGCCTCAAGTGACCCAGTTCATCAGCAGTGGCTCACAAACTTTCCAGTGTTCCATGAAACCCAGTTTTCCAACTATAATTGGGTGAACATGATGTGCAGTTCCAAGTGTTCCTGTTCATTGGCTGTTTGTGCTGAGTTGTGTTAATCTTCCTGGCTAGGATGTAGTGTGTCTCCCTTCCCTCCTGCTGGAAGCTGATTTTCCTTCAGGCGGTTCTGGCATCTGCAGTTCCTTTTATGGTCTGGTCCCCCTATAAAAGCTTCAGAGCAAGACTACGGTTTGTTTATCTGATTTTAAGAAGCTGAATCTTCTCATTGAGCTTGGAGCTCTTTGGACTTCTTTTTCCCAGCTGTATTGGCCATAAAATTCTGCCCTCTTCGTGATAGTTGTGTTTTGGAAACTGTGGATTGGATCCTGCAGATTCAGTCTTCTGATAATTAAAGGAGCATTCTGCTGGTGACCGAGAATAACACTAATGTTAGCTGAATGGATCTATAGGATCCAGCTTATTAACACTGATTTTTGTTTCTATGTCTAGGGATTATTTATTTGATTGTGCTGAGGCAGGACTGGCAGGCAACTTAATGAGTATTTTGGATGAGGTGTGAGTGAGTCTCTGCATGCTTTTAGATGACATTTGTTCTCCGCCCCTCCCCCTTTCTTTTTAAGCCTCTGTATGATGCAGCTTACCTTACCATGTTCAACATCTGTTTTACATCCCTGCCGATTGTGGCCTACAGTCTACTGGAGCAACATATCCCTATTGACACCTTGATGTCCTTTCCAAAGTTGTATATGTAAGTGATAATATGCTTTTGCCCTTTTGTTTGTCTTTAGCACTAATTATGGTAATCCAGGGCTTAGAAGGCAAGCTGATGACTTTTGATGACAAAGAGCCTGAGCTGCCGTTCAAGAAATCCTTGGCTTGCACCTTCCCTGCAGTGAAACCACTAGTTGCCATTAAGCAATTCAGTCCTACTTGGTCTCATCTCTCCCCTCTCCCCAATAATGATACTGGTCTCCCTTATAGGATTGTTCATAAGAGCTACTGGGAAAATTCATGCATGCTTTGAACAGTCTAAAGCACTGTATTAGTGATCAGCAGTGGGAAGTCTGAGGAGTAAATCCAGAGCCACTTTTGGCATATCAGCTGTTTCTGCTGCTTGCTTGCTCTAATTATGTTTTATTGCTCTTACTCCTACTATTGCTTTCTCTCTGTAAAATCATTGCTTGTGTCACTGCTGATCCATGCACTGGGACCTTGAGAATATTGAAATGCTTCAGCTTCTGATTTTTGAGCATCCCTACATAGGATGTTTCCAGGTGGCACTTCTACCCACATTGTTAGAACATGCTGTTTCAGCAGTCCAAACCTTCCTTCAGTCTGTGTCAGTCCCATGTTTCAGTTCTTGGCTGATAGAAACTAGTGTACATTGGTGCTGTCAGTAGCAGCCACCTGCACAAGCCTTGTTGTGGTGATATTCCCCACATCTCTATTGACTGCATCAAGAAGAGGCTTAGCCAAGCATCTGTTCCGTGAGCCGGGAACTTGCTCCATGAAAATGTTCCTCTGGCTCTGTTCCAGCAAGCCAGCTGCTGTTGTCTGTATCACACACTTAGTGTGGTATAAACATCCTCCTGTCAGCATCAAAAAGGATTTATACTTGCAGCAAAAGGAAACGGGGCTGCTCGATGCTGATGCCTGCCATCTCTTCCCTCCCTCCCTCCCTCCCTCCCTCCCTCTCTGCCAAATATGGTGGCTTATTTGTTTGTGAGATTTGTGACTCTGTGGAAAATTAGTGAGCCCACTCACTTGCCTGGTTAATGTTTATTGTGTGAATAGAATAAAAGAAATGGGGCCTTTGTGCAATATTCTGTTTTGAATACTCACAAGCTGACAGGTTTGCTGTTGAACTAACCCAGCTTGCCACACTACAGTTGCCCAGTTTAGTGCTAGTAAAGCAATAGTACAGCAAGGGCTTAAACAGTAGGTGATAAGCAGGGAGCTCCATATGTTTTCTTAACAAACATGGTTAGTCCTACAGTGGCCTCACCTGCCCTGAAATGAGTTCCTCTCCCAAAGAAGATTTTATTCCTTCTGGCATTCATCTTGAGTAATGATCCCAAACAGTCCCCCTCTCCAAGAGAACCAAATAGTCCCATTTGTGGAATAAAACCCAATCTTGGTGGACTGATTTGCTAACATGTTTAAAAACAATAGCTCTTAACTTCTCCAGGAACGATTATCTTCCTCCTTCTGGAGACACTGTCATTGCAGTCCCTCTTTGCTTCCTGAAACCACTGAAATTATGGCACAAAATCACAAATGTTTAAATTTTAAGGGCAGCTGGATTTAAAGTGGAATGCTTCTGCTGATGTGTCTATGGCTTTGTTGACTGTAAATTGTTTTGTTTTACGTTTTTACTTTCCTCTAAGCCACCTTGAAAGTTCCGAGTATGAGTAGAGGGGTACAAGGGCCTAAATAACATGTTGAACTTCAGTGCACTGACTGTTGTGAAATAGTTTGATCAGAAGGAGAAATGAGATTCTTTGCATCAGAAACATAACCAGGCTAGCGGAGGCTGATAACCAGCTAATTGCAGCAGTCAGTGGTTCATCTAGTTCTGTTTGGATCCACTAAACAGGCAGCCCCTCCACAGTTGTGTCCTCCTCTTCAGAATTAGGCAGGACCAGGTATTGAACAGAATAGCCTTCTTAGTTCAGAGTCACCAGGTTCCCACTTCCTACAGTTTCCTATGACCTACATCTCAGTATCAGGCCAAGCTGTGTTACTATTCTTTGGACTTCAGTTCATTTACTTAAAACCTGTTTTAAGTTAAAAAACAAAAACAAAAAAAAACCCCGTTTTGCAATTCTTCTCAAAGAGGAAATGTTTGCAAGGAATCCTGTTTCAAGCCCAGCAGAGGGAGCTCACGTCTAACATTCCACACTTTGCCAGACTGGCTTCTGCAAAAACACCCCAGAGCCAATGCAGAGCATCTGCTTTGTAAAGTACGGTCACCCCAGTGCCATGTTTTCCTTCTAAATAACCTGTCCAGAACAGCCTGAACACTCTCCTTTTGTACGGTTGAGTTCTGGCATTGTTTGGAACATATGGCTATTCTAAAGACAGGGCCAAGAGTAGTAGCAGCAGCAGCAGTAATACCGGGCAGAGAGGAATCACTGAAACAGTGTTCAACAAAAGAACAGTAGTGTCTGTGAAATTGTGTGCTGGCTTTATGATTCCTGTATTTGAAAACTAGAACCACTCCCTTTTCTCACTGGGGGATATCACAAATGTCACATTGCTGCTTCTCTTTCTGATTGTATCATATAAGAACATAAGAGAAGCCAATGTTGGATCATGCCAATGGCCAATCCAGTCCAACACTGTCACACAGTGGCCAAAAATATCAAGTGCCATCAGGAGGTCCAGCAGTGGGGTCAGGACACTGTCCCGTCCCCACCCCACCCCAACCACCAAGATTATCACGGAGAATGGAATTCATTGTTCTCTTCTGTACAGAGATCTATGATTTGCACTTGCCAGAAATGGAGGCAGAAGCACAGGTTACCTGTACTGCTGGTTCGGTGACTCCTGCAAATGCCCAGGCGGATTCTCATATTTCCTGCCTAGTTTGTCTCAGTAGTCCTTGAGAGCCAACAAAACTGCATTTTTGGCTCTGCGGCATCTCCCCTTCCTTCTCCTTGCATCCCAGTTCTTAAAACTTTTTTCCCCTTCCATTCTCTTGGCAGGAATGTTTCCGACAATGCAATGCTGCAGTTGAAGCCCTTTTTGTATTGGACCTTTCTGGGCATTTTTGATGGACTTGTGTTTTTCTTTGGGGGTTATTTTCTTTTTCAAGATGCTTCTTTAGAGGACAACGGAAAGGTAAGAGGGAATTGAGCTTCTAAACCAAACCCAGTCCAGGAGCCTCAGAGCTGTGCAGCTAGTTCTGGGTGCAGGATGGCTCTTAGAATCCCTGTTTCTTGAAAAGCGGTTCTCCATCCCACCCCACCCCACCAATACCACATACCAGACCATGTTTGAAAAGAGTGTGTGATGTGGCACATAGGTCTGCTGCTTGGCAGAGGAAAAAATAAAAGTCTCTAGACATGTGGAAGCTTTTTGGTGTGCTTAAATCAGTTCCTTGTATGCCAGACAAATGCAACCATTCACTTGGGTACAATTTTTGATTGAGAATTTCCTATGCATTGTTTTATGGTGTTTAGAACACTGATGCAAAGGTTTTCAGATCTTCAGCCAAGCAGATTAGCGCGTTGATAGTCGATCAAAATTTCTTACAGTTTGCCACTCCTTTGCAATCTCTTTATACATTATTTTTCAAGTCAGACTTTAGCTAAAGTAGACTGACTTCGCTGCCTCATTTTACAAGTTGTCTTGTGTCCGTGAGAACTGCCAGCAGTTGGCCCATGTCTGTTTTTGTGCTTGTTGACCTTAGTTTTTTTAAAAGTTTTTCTTTTTCTTTTTTGCATTTTATAAGATTTTCACATGTCACTTTTTGTTTTAATGTATGCATTCAGACTTTGACCGAATTTGGTAAGCAAACAGTCCCATTCAGTTACCACCATTACAGTTTTGAAATGCAGTATTATCATCCCCAAAGGATGGTAGTTCCTTCACTGAAGGTTTCCTAGGCTCCTGTTTTTGTCACAGTTATCTCTAGCCTGGATGCCCAGGAGTTAATCCTCTGTGAAAGACAATTGACCAGTGTGGACCACTTGGGAGCCTGAATACAGTATAATGTGTGGCTGGACCCACCTAAAATCATGCCCTGAGCCTAGTAGCTTTTTAAATTTTACTGGGCACTCCTTGCTGGGAAGAGCCACAGTGATAGGCAAGCATCCCAAAAGACTAGTTGTCCACCTTTTTTTGCCAAGCTTTGCCTGTATTGCATCACCTCTGGATACCACTGGGCACATTTCCAGGGTGTGAGGGGAAGTGGCTTGAGAACAGAATCCTTTGCAAAGCTCTTCCCTTCCTTATAGTCCCAGTGCAAAGCCAGCTGTTCTTGTGGTTCACAAACTTTGGTGGTGTTCATAGTAGTGGTTGAGCACTGACTGTTTCTTAAGGGAATGCTAAACGTACTTTTTCTGACCTACCTGCACATGTGTGTGTGTTTGTTTTAAGTACAGTGTTACAAATCCCAGTAGTCTGCAATAGATGTAGATTGTTAATTTATTGTGCTCTGATTCCTTTTAGGGAGACACTTCAGTCAGTGTGGTGCAGTAAAGGAAGAGTTCAGTGTTCCCACCACACTCAACTTAGAATTTGGATCCACAAACCAAGATACTTTAAATAGTTCATCCCTTTCCTGACCTCAGTTGCAGAATTCATGCTGCATTATGCTTTTGGTGACAGCATTGGGAATGTAACAAGGTCCAAATCCTTAGACAGACAGACACACACACCATGAGCCCATGAGCTCTGCACATTCCAGCTGCCCTTTTTCTCTTCCCAGTTAACTTGGTAGCAGGATTGATGATGGCTGAGATTTTCTGATGGCCTCTCTGTGACTGTTCCTCAGCATTTTAGGCACAAAGATGCCTGGGACATGTAGTTTCTGAGGCATACTATACTATGCAGGTACCCTGGAGTGTGAAATGAGGCAAAGGTACAATGGCTTGGATCCTCAACCTTTGCTCTGCATGCAGTTCCCTCCAGGTGCTGCAAAGGCAGTGCTCCATTGCAGGGTGCATTCCTTTCATTGTAGGCACCTTGAAAAACACTGGGATTTCACAAACCAAAGCACCTAGCATCAGAAGAATCAAGCTCTGAAGCAGAGGACTGCTTCTGCAGTGCTTAGAAAGAAGCACCTGCAGAGCAAAGGTCTAGGATCCAAGCCCAACATAACTTTTGAGGGAGGGGGGGAAACTCTCAGTCAGCTCTTTCAACGAGGTGGGAGGGAGTTAAGAAGGACAGAAATTCTTCTTTGGCTTGGATTCTGATCTGGCTTGGAGGAGAACACTCAAAAGTTGTAGTACTTGCCCTGGATCAAAGGGAAGCATTCCAGGCCACCAAAGGTAATATTATGCAAGTGTTGGTGAAATTACTAAATCTATGCCCATATGAAAAGACAAAATATGTAACTGTAACAAGTGCTAAATATTATCCCATTCCACTGTTGTAGTTTCCTTTTTTGCCGTCTCCTCCTGCCCCAATAAAAATCTTGATGAGATAAATGTTTCAACGGACCCTGTTTTTCAGATGTCTGGAAACTGGAGTTTTGGAACCATGATTTTCACAGTGCTCGTGTTCACTGTCACCCTAAAGGTTAGAACTCTTTCCTTTTGTTCTAAATGAAGCCATCTTTGATTTCATTGTTTCAGTTATTGATCTTGGTGATGTTAGTTTGGAATGTGGCTAGAGTTACTAGGCCACTCTAATCTATAGCCTGTTCACACTAATTTGGCTCATTTGTTTTTTACAATTTGTGTTTTGTTTTTCAATTATTCTAGCTGGCATTAGACACTCGTTTTTGGACGTGGCTAAACCACTTCGTCATTTGGGGTTCATTGGCCTTCTATGTGTTTTTCTCATTCTTCTGGGGAGGAATCCTTTGGTAAGTTTTTAATTTTAATGTATCTGGCTGTGGGGGGGGGCATTGTCTGGATCACATCCTAAATGTATATGTACTTGTATGTTATCGAGATTTCTGTTTAGGTATTTTATTGAAGATAATAAAGATTGAAAGCTTGCTTTTTGGTCTTCAGAAAGTACCACCTCATTGTTGTGTGAAGAAAGGCCATTGTTGTTGTTTTTAAATCTCCTTTTAAAGCAGCATATTAGAATAAAGATTAAAGCTTTTCAGAGCTAGTATATGTAGTGGATTGATAGGACTGAAATTCCTGCTTAGCCATGAAGCTCATTGGGAGACTTCTGGGCCAGTCTTTCAGCCTAAATTGCCTTTAGGGGTGTGTGCTCAGATTTACCCAAGCCAAAAATCTGCCCCCAAAACACCTTACTGTTAGATTTCAGCATCCCAAATGAATCCGGGTCTTCTCAGGAAAAGTGAAAAAAATCCTGAAAAAATCCGGGATATATTCCCAGAGCAGATTGCTCCTGTCTCCCAGCTGTTTGCTGGGCTTCTACTGCAGTCTCTTTAAAGTTTAAAGGGACTGCAGAAGACAGCCTGAGGAGCAGGTGTGCCGGTGGGGGGCAGACTGTTCCTGCCGGCTCGGCTTGAAGCGGGCTACTTATGCAGCTCGGGTTAAACCAGGCTGCAGAAGAAGACAGCCCCAGGATCCGCTGTGCCCCCGGAAACAGATTGCACCCCACAGGCTGGGCTTTGTGCTGGCTTCTCCTGCAGCCCAGTTTAAATCAGACTGCAGGAGAAGTGAGCCCAGGCAGGATCTCCTGTGTCGCACAGAGCACATTACTCCAGGTGCTACAGCAGCTCCTGGGGCTCGCTTCTCCTGCAGCCCAGTTTAAATCAGACTGCAGGAGAAGTGAGCCCAGCCAGGATTGGTTTAAACCATGCTGCAGAAGAAGGCAAGCCAACCCAGAATTGGGCTGGCTTTTAAAAAAAACTTGTATTTTTCTTCTCTGGTCTATTGGACCCCCCAAAAAATCCAGGATTTCTGAAAAATCCTGGATCCAAATATTGTACTGGTATTGGGATCTAGTTTTTTGTTGTTGTTTTTGGAAATCCAGTTGTGTGTTTTTCCAGGTCCAGTAGACCCAAACTGAACAATACTGGTTAAAAAAAATATTGCACATCTGTACTTGCCTTGTAGGGTTGTTTTGAAATTAAGATAGGGAGGGATAGCTTGGAAACCAGTTTGAGCCCCTTGTGTAATTAACTACCTAAACATTGGAGTGTTGTAAGTAAATGAAGTCAAAGAAGATATATTTTGTCCAAGCATAATGTGTCTTCTGTTACTTTCTATCCAGGCCTTTCTTGAAGCACCAAAGAATGTATTTTGTATTTGCCCAACTGCTGTCTTCAGTGCCCGTCTGGCTGGCAATATTTTTCTTGATCTTCGTCAGCCTGTTCCCAGAAATCATTATGGTAATCTTTAGAAATACGAAAAGAAAAAGCCGCCAGGTAAGAAAAATGCATAGCGGTTCTGTGGTTTCATTTATGGAGGAATGGATCCCTCTCTTCTAAGCTTTTGACCGGCACCTTTTTGAGGTAGAATTGATGCAAGAGCATCTCTGCAGTTTCATCATGGTGTTCCTTTGCTGTGCAAAGACTTTGAGAAGTCCTGCCCAGATCAGCCAAGCTGCAGAATAGCTAGCAGTGCAGTATAGTCAGTACTGATGAGTCTTGAGCAGTGGACACCAGCTTCTCTTTGTAGAGACGGTCAGCAAGAATAATTTTTTGCCACAGGAACATAGAATGGCTACTGAATATATGTGGCAGAATTCATAATGGCTGCATCCATCTTGCCTGTCAAGTCGTGAGCCTGCAGGGAATGGACTCAGGACCAAGATCATTGAGAGTTCAGGAAGGAGTTTCTGGAAGGAAGTTTTGTAAAGCCTCAGGTTGACATCCACAGCTGAAATATTCTGAGGAATTCACCCCGTCGCGTAGGTAGGGTAATTAGTTTCTGAAAGATGTACATGGAGGATGGACTTGAAGAGAAAGCTGCATATCCCAGCCAGCTAGTAGCTGGATTCATGTGAAGGCTGGATTGCAGGGGAAGATTTTGCAAAGAGCTCTATGCATGTTGTGCATCAGCTGCGTAGACATGGGGAGGGAGGGAGATGCTAATTTCTGTAGTACCTGACCCTGATTAAAGGATAAACAAGAACCAAAAGATTCTGCTAGTTTGTTCCGTTGATATTTTCCACAGCTGATCAGATTGTTGTTTGCTCCTTTTTCTAAAAGTCTGTTTTCAGTTAATGGTAAAAAAAAATATGACAGGCTGGTCGAAATGTGCCATTCCAGATCTATATGGTGTGGTTAAAAATCAGTTGCAGGCCATGGGCTTGTGTGTGCCCCCTTTCTCCTCCCCTCTATTGCACAAGTTGCCTTTTCCAACATTACGGTTTAGTGCATTGCGTATGTACGGATGCTTACCTGGGTTCATATTATAACCGGGGTAAAAAGCTGGATTGCAGATCCAGAGGCAGTCTTGGTTAGCATTAACCATGGTTCAAGCTGAAACATATGTAACCGTAAATAATGATTAAGGCTGGGAAGAGAGCAGGCTTTTCACACAGGCAAGGGGAGGTGGCAGGGGGCACACAAAACTGCCCACGGATCTCTCTGCTTCAGACCTCCATGCAGTGCTTGTGTTTTAAGTGACACTAAGGTCCATGAGCCATTTTGTGAACATGAATCTACTTCATTTGTATTTTGATAGTCCCAGTGCTAACAGGGATTTGATAGGCTTAAATTACTTATTTAAGGGATTTTTAAATATCTGAACTTTAAAAATGCAAGTGTACATTGATAGTATGATAGATAGTATGATAGATAGAGCTCAGTGAATAAATTGTGGAACATATAGGCACTTGATGGACAGTTGTTGATACGTCAAGTAACACATGGGTTGGCTTTGCTTGTAAGCTAGGTTTGAGCCTAGGGCAGAGGTTCCCAATCTTGTTAAGCCTGTGGATTCTTCTAGAATTTGAGAACAGGGAATGGGCACCACTACAAAATGGCTTCCATGGGGTACTGGGGCCAATAACAGAATATTGGGAACTTGCAAGTCAAGTATCCTTCTTCGATTAAATCAGTTGTTTCTGGGTTCTCCTGCTCCAGTGAGTTGGAGGAAAGAAAGCCAGGGATTGGCTCTTTGCTTTGGGGAAGCTTTTTTTTGGCACCAAGAAATCTATCAGTGGCCCAGGGTATAGTTCCAGCCAGCTAGCTGAAGCTAATCAGGTCCAGGCCTGGCCAGTGCCTGAATGGGTGACCACCTGGGACCCCCCCCACACACACAACCCGGTATGCTACATTGAGTTCCCTGATGGAAAAGATGTTGGGGATATACATGCAATCAGGGCTCTTTTTGTAGAAAAAGCCCAGCAGGAACTCATTAGCATAATAGGCCACACCCAACAGCAGAAGCTCATTAGCATATTAGGCCACACCCCTGACAGCACAGCTCATTAGCACATTAGGCCGCACCCCCATGTTACCAGAAGTGTGGTTATCCAGCCTCACCCACCTTTTGCTTGTTATTCTGTTTACCTTGTTTGTTGTCAAAACCCAGGGCTTTTTTGTAGTAGGAACTCCTTTGCATGTTAGGCCACACACCCCTAATATAGCCAATCCTAATGAGTTCCTGCTGTTGGGTGTAGCCTATTATGCTAATGAGTTCTTGCTGGGCGTGGCCAACTTGGGAGCCAGCCGGAACTCCGTTCCTGTGCGTTCCTGCCCCCAAATAGCCCTGCATGCAATAAATAATAATAATGCAGCCCAGTAGTTAAGAGACTGAGGTGTGAGCCAGAAAGTTGCAAGTTCACGTCTCACCTTTGCAAAGAACTTGCTAGGTGGCCTTAGGCAAGTTACGATCTGTCTTGGTCTCAACCCCCTTGCTGTAGAAATGATGTTGCTAAACTGCTAAGCACGATTACTGTAAGGATCAGTGAAATAATACATAGAAAACACATTGAACACTCAGAAAAAACACTCTCAGTATCTAGATACAATGATAATGCACTGTGATTTCATCTATCCCAAAGTTATGGCAGAGCTACAAAGAGCTTCTTTAGAGAGGCCCCCAAAACAACGATATACCTTAAGGGATTTGTGAACCTTTTAAAAACAGATCTCCCCCCTCCACCCATGTTGCATCACAAACTGCTTTCTGTTCCCAAAGCATTTGTCACGTGGCACAAAAAGACTGCTGGTTAAGAGATATGAGGCCAAACCATTGCAGAACTAGCTTTATCATTCTGAGGATCCCTCTCTCCATCATCTAATTAAAAAAAAAACACATCCCTAACTGATATTCTTGATATACTGTTATTATATCAGATATTGGCTGGGCCCCTGTATGGATAGCAAAAACTGCTGCACAGGGACACCAACAGAAAGATAGGGTCTCTACTCCTATTCAAGTGATTACCGAGGCATGCAGAAAATGATTACTTTGGAAGTTAACCATGGTGGGGGGAAGGGGGTAAAATTACATAATGAACACTGCCTGTCTTCTGGGGGCACAGCCTATTGAGAGCAGCTGAGTGTCAGTTAAAGAGAAGAGGATAAACCAGCCAGCTAAAGCCCCCCTGAGAACTTAATCCTGGACACAGGTATGGTTTAGGGTGGGGAGGATTTCCAGGTTGGTCCCCATCACTACTTATCATTCCTCATGTGCTCCCCCCTTGTTAAACAAAAATTGATAGTGTGGAAAATGATAAATAAGAGTAGTTATAGGGATTTTACCTTCTAAAAATGAATGTGAAAATACATTCTGAGAAGAGATCAAAGGAGGGAAATTGTCTATTTTATTTGAGGATGAGAAGCCTGTGAAAATTAAGACTGCCAAAAATCTAGAAGGGAAAAAAAAGGACTGGCCCCTTTAATAGAGGTTTCATGGGACGGTATTTCTCTATTAATCAGATGTTATTATTTACCTCCATCTCCTGTAAAGCCTCACCTGCCCATTTTCTCACATGAAGACTATTAAAGCGGCAGGACATATTTTCCCTCTAGGCTATTGGTAACCCTAGTAGAAACTGAGGAATGATCTTGACCACTCCAGTCAGGATGGGTAAGGAGTTGGCCTGTTGTTTAGGGAGTAAACATGATAGGAGAGTATAGATACTGAGACCACTCACAGCCAAGGTGGTTGTTTCTTTCTCAGCATAAAATTAAAAGAGGAGCATCTCCACACAGGCACATACACGTACACCGATACAGGGGAGGAAAATAGCCTGATGCTGACTAAACATGTTCATTGCTCTGCAGGGGCCACATAATATTGAGAGCACTTGCATGTCATTGCCGGGGGTGGGGGGGGAGGTGTTGGACAGAAATTGGTCTGTTTGAACCCTTTTATGCTACCTTTCCAGGAAACTCCCTGAGGTGGCTTATGAAATAAAAAAATAAAAACAAAATGTTGAAAGATATTAATTAAAACCCAGCATTAAAAGAGACACAGCCCAGCATAACAACATAGATCATGAAAACAGACCGCAGGCAGCATAAAATAACAGTTTCCAGGCTAACATAGTGTTAAAAATTTAACCTGTTAATGAAAATCCTGGGTGAACAGGTTGGAGCCTAAAAGAAAGCAATGATATTGCAAGGCAAGTTCAAAGGAAGGGCATTCCATAAGAAAGGTGCCCCGACTGAACAAGCCCTGTCGCTGTTTGCAGCCTGCCTCTGAAGGCGGGGCACAGACAGCAGGGCTTATGAGGCAGCTGAACAATATGGGAAGAAGGCTCGTGATAGCTCATAGTTGAATATAGCAAGAGGCAGGCACTGGAAAAATACACTGTAGGCAGGATGCTGTCATCCAGGCGTAGGGCTGCATAAGCAGCTTCCTGTTCACTTAAACCCAAACATTGCCAATCAGCAATTGGTGAGACTGTGCCATAGGACTAGGTTAGATAAACAGCAAGTTGCTCATCTTTTCCCTGGGGCATAGCAGGTCTGTGGTACTGTAGAAATGGTTTCCCTGACCTTGGAGAGACGAGACCATGATGGGGATCTCCAAACCTTTTGAGCCTGCGGGCACCTTTGGCATTCTGACACAGCATGGTGGGTACAGCCACAAAATGGCAGCTGCAGGAGGTGGAGCCAGACACAAAATGGCTGCCCTGGCTTACCTTCAGTCACACAGTGGAGGGTCCTTGTGATGTTTTGGCCGCTGCTTTGAAAAGTTTTGAAAAATCTTCATAGGCGATCAGATGTCCAATAGCCAAGCAGAAGGTTTGCTGGGCAAAAGCCTCACCTGATTCCTCCAGCCTTCTAAAAACACCTTTCTGCATCAGCAGACACCATGGAGCCTGTGGGCACCACATGGGGGAACCCCTGGACCATGGTATGAACAAAACGGGTTGAATTCAGCATGAAATTTTCACTTGCACTGGAGCTCTTGCACAAGCAGGAACACAAGAAAAAGCTGAGGTAGCCGCTTGCGCTCAATC